ATGTCCACTTCCAACAGCATACACCCAACCTCTCTCCCTCTGGCACATTTAAATCATAGAAAAGTTGAGCTGGAAGGGACCTCCATAGGTCATCCAGTCCAAACCCTGCCTGAAGCAGGATCATCCCTATCCAAACCATCCTATACAAGCTATAATCTAAACCCTACATAAGCCTATCATCAACCCTGACACAACACAGACCTAACACCCACAGGGAAAGCAGGGGTACCACTATTCCAAACGCCAGCAACTGAGCATATATTAACAACCCTTGACAGAAGCGGGAGTTGGGGAAGGCATGGGGCAGTGCGCTCAGGGTACCAGTACTGAGCCCCAGCCCTGACTCTGTCTCCAAAGGGCAGAGCTCGACCAGGCCTGCTGGGTCACCATGGGTAAGTCACTCGGCCTTTTTGTGCCTCAGCTTCTAGTCCTGTAAAGTGAGGACCATGGCACTGACCTCCCTGTGAGTGGCAGAGCTGGGTGTAGCTATTAAATTACCTTTCTCTTTCTCAATCATTATGTTAAGAGCTTCTTTTAAATGGAGGTCTCTTAGGATGCGTTTTGCTGTTGTCACTGCTAGCTTCCTGCCGAAGTGCTGAATCATGAGACTGGCTAATGTCGGGACATCGGCATTTTGCAGTTTGCACCGGGGAATTTTATCGGAACGCTCCGCATCAGACAATTTTCCTTTGAATTTTTTAAAATCGTACTCTTCCAAGTCGCCCAGGCCACAGAGCAAGATATCAAAACAGTGCTCATCTCCTGCTTCCATCCTGTCCAGGAGCACGCTGAAATAATGACATGAGGAGCAGAGTTGAGCCAAAGCCAGAGGCTGACTGTATTGTATCTGTTGGTCACATGTAGGTGGACAGGGAGAACCCAAGCATTGAAGAGTTATGGATATTTTCCCAAAGGCATCAGTTGAATTGATCAGGTTCTTACCCGGGGCATCATTGACTCATAAATGAGAAGGTCAAGGAAGGGCCACTGTGGTCACCTACCTAAGCGCCTGTGGAAAGTAGCCCATTGCACTTCCCCGGCAGGGCTTCTCCCAGAAACAGAACGTCTCTTTTAGAAAAACAGGATGTTTCATTTAAAATGGACAAGCCAGCCCCACATAGAGACGCACAAGGAGGTGAAGACCCTGCTCAGAGGGCCCCTGGTGACTGCACTGCAGTGGGAGACAATGCCCTGTCCCTGGACAAAGTGGCCAGTTGGGACCTGTCATTCATATGCATCCAATCAGCCCATGGACAGGCCACAGATGGAGTGGCTGGGGCTGGGGCTGAGAGCTGAAGCTAGACACAATCCAGCTAAGAAGAAGGTACAACTGTTAACTAGGAACAACAGACCAAGCCTGGGGGAGTTTTCCACTGCAGGCAGCAGCCGGTGCTTGAAGCTGGCCAGTCAGACACTGCATGGGGTTCAAATAATGTCCTGCACAGCAAGCTGATGGGCAAGGAGGAAGGGATCCACCAGAGGACTGTCTTGAAGAAGTCTGGGCTGGCTGCTGCCCGACCTGAAGCACAGTTTTTGCATGCCGGCCTGCCAACTGACAGCACTCCATGCCTACGTGCTATATACATAGCACCACGTAAGGAGCTGAGTTTCGGATGGGTGCAACAGGGTGAGAAGGTGAGGGAGGAGAATGCAGGGAGCGAGGGGCTGGCTTTGCAGCTGCCAGCTCTGTGGGCATGTCGCACCGTTTGGCACTGACCTAGTCATTCGTGCCAGGCACAGGGACTGCACGCTGTGTCTGGCAGGGAAACCCCAAGCAGGGGCTCAGAGAACGCCGGTGGCGGGCCTGAGCTGCAGAAGCCCCAAGCTCCCGGCACTGCTGGGAGCTTCCCTTACTTAACTACAGTAAACTCACCTGCAGGAAACTGGGATGTCACACGGAGGAAGCTGTCACTGATCGGCCGAGTTCCCCAAGAAGCTGCAATGAAAGAACTGCAGAAATAAGTGGAAAGAGTTCTGGCTGGAGATGGAAGGATGCACCAGGAAACGGAGAGGGGCAGACATCCTGCCTCTGTTGTCTTTTGCTCGTGGAGGACAGACTGTTGGGGATACTGGGCGGGAAGCATGGAGCCTATTGCCAAAAGACACCTCCAGGCTGAGACTGGAGAGCCAGTGAATTCTCCCATCCAATGCCCAGGAACTCAAGTGACTATATATAGATATGGAGGTTCACAGCAGGAGTGCAGGGGTGCAGGAGCTCCCAATAGTACCCCCATCTGGGGTCGTGCCAGCCTGTGTGGAGTAACGGGTCTCCAGACAGTGTTTTGAGGTGCTAGTGTGCTATACCCTAAACTGGTATAGGACCCAGCGGAGTCTGGACTAAGACCACGGAGGATTTAGTGGACTTTGGGAAGCCAAGAGAGGCTACAGAAATAAGCCAGGCAAGGTGGAGGTCCCGCTGAGAATATGGCGCCATTTTCCAGCAAGGCATGGTGAGCGAGTCTTAAGTGGGGACCAAACCCTTGCCCAGAGAAGGTAACAGGCAAACCAGTTTGACCCCAGCTGCAGCCCCTGTTACAATGGCATTAAAAAACAAATCTTTTCTGGGTCACCCCATATCTGTGCCACCAGGGGACTCCCCTGAAGATGCCTGGGCAGTCCCCTCTCTGATCCAAAGTAGTCTGTATGTGCTAGCCAGCCTAATGCCAGACCCCCAGGCCTGCGTGCTAAATACATTGCTATGATTAAGGAGCTGATTTTGGGCTGGGATTATGAGGCAAAGCCCACTTTGGGCAAAATCCTTTTTGGGTCACCCCAAACCTCACATCTCTGTAACTGGGGGACTCTCCTGAAAAAGTCTGGGCAGGCTCCTGCCCTGCTCGACCCAAAGCTCAGTTTTCATGTGCTAGATTGCCAACTGACACCCAGCCACCCAGGCCTGTGCTATGCACAAAGCCCAGAATAAGGACTTGAGTTTGGGCTGTGGTTACTGGGTAAAATCTGCTTCGGGTCAACCCAAACCACATATCTCCACCCTGGCTACTGTCCCAAATGCATGACCCAAAGTCAAATTTCTGCATGCTAATCTGTCACCTGTCAGCTCCTGAGGCTTGTGTGCTAAGTAAATTGTCCCATATCAAGAGCTGAGTTTGGGCCAAGATTGTGGGGCAAAATCCTTTCCAAGTCACCCCAAACCACATGTCTCTGTCACTGGGAGACTCTCCCAAAGAAGTGTGGGCTGTGCACTGCCCAACGTGAAGCATGGCTTTGAGTGCCAGCCTGCCAACTGATGGCTCCCCGGGCCGGCGTGCTATGTGTGGCAGAGCTGAAGGAGCCTGCAGAGCAGCCTGCGGGTGGGGGCCAGGGCTGATGGGAGAGAGTCGTCTGACCCAGGAGGAGGGCCAGGATTCAGGTGGGGATGAGTGAAGACCCTGAGCAGAGTTAGTAATACGATCGTGGAGCCTGCTGAGAGAATACCACCTCGGCAGGATGGATGCAGCTCCAGAAAGTCAGCATGGAGGGCAACATCTTAAGCAGTCTGGGGAAGTAAAGGGGTGGATGAGGTTCCCAGGGGCCCACTGAGGGGTCCAGAGCCCAGAGAGAGGAGCTGGATGTATGGGACCTAATGAGGGGTCCGGGACCTAGAGCAAAGGTTTGCAAAATGGCAGATCCAGCTGGTAGCCAGACTCCATTTCCTAGCATCCCCAGCATCCCCATGGAGACCCCAGTAGCGGTGGGGCCATGACAGCACGGAGCCACAATGGTCTCATGCTCCCAGGATCTCCATGCAGACCAGCCTGGAGCAGCGCTGGCAGGGTGTTGGTAAGGTGTGCGGTTAGGTGGGGAGCTGCTCTAGGGCCAGGGTCTTGCAATGGTGACAGTGTGGGGCCAGAGCCAGGGCACAGCTGCGATCCACTGCCTGTGTGCCCCTGCCCATGCAACCCGTGCTCATTGGGGTGACCTGATGAGAGGTCTGGGACCTGAAGAGAGGCCAAGAGTGCAGGACCTGAGGAGGGGTCCAGGGTCTAGAGGTGAAAAGTGTGGGACCTGAAGAAGGATCCAGAGGACCTATTGAGGGGTCTGCATGAGCCCAGGGAGATCAGAGGCTGGGAGAGCTGCAGCCAGGGGGCCTGGAGGTGAGAGCAATCTGGGGCCGGAGGGCCCAGAGGTCTGTAGTCCAAGAGGGGCAAGGAATGGGGCTGGAAGTCCATGGCCCAGGAGGAGCGGGGGACATCAGTGACAAAGCCTAGGGAGCCTGATATTAGCCATGACAGGCAAAGTGCGGATGCAGCACAGCTAAGCCCTAGGGACTGAGGCCAGGGCCCAGGGTTGGTCCTGGGTAGGACCAAACACTGCCCCACCCCAGAATTCACTCTGGAGCTGGAAAATAGCATGAAATCCTTCCCACACCAGCGTCAAGAAAACTACTTCCACTTATCCCCCCACTTTGCCACCCCAGGAATTTTCTATATACTCCCAAAGATCCACAAACAAGGCAACCCTAGCAAACCCATGATATCCAATGATGTACTCTCACTGAAGAGCAAACAGGATTCATAGAAACCATCCTGAAACCACTCACCAGTCCCGGCTGCCCACAACCTGGCATGACACAAGCTTTGTCTGGAATACACTCCCACGCTAACGTCAACCTGGGTGCAGGCAGAAGTGCAGCTCCCAGCCGTAATTCAGAAGGTTTCTGCAAAGCGTCCTGATTTACAGCGTTATCCCCGACCACACAGAAGTTCACTGCTGGCTCCAGGGGGCAGGGGAATCTAGCTGTGGGCTGGGAGCCTGCAGGCAGGATCCCTTAGCAGGGTCCCCGGGCTCTCTGCCGGTGCTCACTGCTTTCCGAATGGGAGGGGGAAAGGCAGTGGAGGGTGCTCATTCTTGGGGCTTCCCAGCTGGTGCTGAAGGGTGGGGTGGGGGAACTGGAGCCTCCTCCCCCACCTCAGGGGGGCTCCAAAACATCTGCCCCACCCTCTGGGGAGGTTGAAAACCCCCCAGACTGACCCCCGCTGCTCCCTTTCCCCGCCTCCCATTCTGAAAATGGGAGCTCAAAGACACAAGTTACAAAAGATGCTACATTTTGAAATGTCTTTATCTGATATCTCAGGTGATGAGGGGTCAGATTTTTCACCCAATCAGATCAGCCATTTTTTAAGCTGATTTTTGCCTGTGGCCGTGCACTTGTGTTTGGTTACGGCTATAGACTGCTTTCTGTGGCCAGATGGAGAGAAAATTGTCACTTCTGTCTGCACTCCTAGATACCACAATCCACATCCAGAATGATGCCCTACAAACCACTATATGCAGAAAACACGGAGACTGCCATACCTATGTCCACAAGACCAGCAATCTTCCCAAGTGCACAAAAAAAAGCTTTAATCTACAGCCAGGCCCTCAGATACCACCATGTCTTCTCTGAGAAGAATGCGTGTGATTGCCCACCTGCCCAGCCTTTGTACAAGGCCACTGCAGTAGAGAGACAGACACAAGATTTGAAAGAGCTACCCAAATACTGCGCAGTAACCTGCCACAACACAAAAAGAAAACCCACTGAGACCACACACCCTGGTGCTCACCTGCCACCCTGCACTGGCACCAATCAGAGGAATCACCAAACACCTACAACCTATACTTGACAAAAATCAGACCTGGAAACAAATATTTCTAGCTCTTTTGCTCCTGGATTTCAAATAACCCCCTAACTTTGCCCAGCTCCTCATCGGAAGCAAACTCTTCACTGCCCAGCAGACATCAAATGGGACACAGCCTTGCCTTGGCAAGACACGCTTAACTGACCAGCAGTTCTCCGCTGGCACTACTATCATAAACACCCCATCAGCATCCGTGGTTCCTACACATGCCTTTCACAATATGTGATATACCTGGCCCAGTGCTCCAAGTGCCCTCATGGCAAATATGTGGGTGAAACGAAACAAGAACTAGACACCAGAATGAACTCTCACAGAAAAAAAATATAAAGTATGGAGACACGCACGCACCACTAGGAGCCATTTCTCCCAGAACAGCCACTCCCACGCTGGCCTTGTTATCCTTGTTCTCAAGGGAAATCTACCTAGCACCTTTAAAAAGCAAACCTGGAAACAAAAATTCATAAACTGGCCTGGCACTAAGAACCAAGGATGAACATTGATGCTGGTTTTATGGCACATTATATTTTACCCTATTCCTGGACTCTTTCCACTCAGAAAAGGTGAGCATGACCCTCCCCCACTTTTGATGGGGCTTGATATTCCAGTAATCAGTTCTTTTTTTACTCTACTTGTGTGTCTGCTACCCCTGCAAATGTATCTCCCCCCCACTGCTGATTTTTACTTATGCAGTGCCCGGCTCCCTGCAGTCAGAGACCTGAGGGAAAATGTCTTGCATTGAAAAGCTTGTCTAACACAAGAGAAGGCTGAAAGAGGATCTGGTGGCCATCTATAAACTCAACAGGGGGGACCAGCGGAAAATAGGTGAGGCTCTGTGCCCCCAGGCACCACCCGGGATAACAAGGAATAACGGCCACAAATTGATTGAGAGCAGGTTCAGGCTTGATATCAGGAGGCATTACTTTACGCTTAGGGCTGCCAGGCTTGGGAATGGGCTCCCAAGGGAGGTGGTGCTCTCCCCTACCTTGGGGGTCTTCAAGAGGAGGTTGGATAGATATCTGGCTGGGGTATTATGATCCCAGCACTCATTCATGCCCATGGCAGGGGGTCGGACTTGATGATCTATTCAGGTCCCTTCCATCCCTACCAACTATGAAACTTTCTCCCAACTACACTGTTGGTCCAATAAAACAGACCAACCTAAGAAGCCCTTGCCTCTGGCATAATACCTGTACCCTCATGGCTACAACATCACCGTTACACTACCAACGTTTATTATAATGTTTTATTTCAATTGTATTGTATTTGTTTTATTTCAGGTTTATTTTTCTCCGTTTTATTTCAATTCTAAGTTATTTTCTCTTTTTTACTTCCATCCTTATATTACATCTCACTACAAACATTTTCCAAATAATCCACATATGTTCTGTTGGAACTCAAGAAAGTCACCTCACTGGTGTCCTTATAACAAACAAGACTGATGACATTTCCAAGGAAGAAATTTTAATTAGCCCCAAGATGAGTGCATTAACCCCATGCAGGGCGTCTCCCACTGGGTGCTCAAAGCGCCTCTGACCAGAAACCAACTACTGTGCATGCGCAGGCTGAGCTCAGCTGGGGACAGCGACAGCAGGGGTGGTAAGAGGATGGGTTTCCTGCCTGTGTTGGGTGCTGGACCAAGTGCTGGGAGGGTGAACATCTGCACCACTACTGCTGCCGCTATCCCCAGCTTTTGGCCACTGTGTAGCCCAGCTGGACTAAGTGGGAATGGCTCTGAAGCTTTCCACACCCCTGGGACAGTGGGGAAAGCAGCAGCAGCAGGGAGGAGGATAGAGGAGGAATTGTCTCACTGAACGTGGATTCTTAATTGTGTTGGAGACTTAAAAAAGTCCCCGGAGGCTCTCTCAGTGAGATCATCCACAGAAGTGGGTGGGGGGAGGTTGGGAGTGGGGTGCAGCTACCCCTGCAGTGTTAGTTGCTGCTCCCACGCCCCACTTTGGGAAATCCTAGATCCTCCCCTGGAAGAAAGTACATGACACCGTTGCTGATCTAAGACCTTCAGAGCCTCTTACTCAGCAAGAAACACGGAATAAATGTCCACATTCAACACCAGCCAGCTCCAGCCAGTCTAGGACCTGTACTGCACACGGTGCCCTCTCCAGCTGGCCCAGGCTGGCTGCCGTACGAAGCGTGGGCCCCAGACCAACTGGAGTGGGTGCCAGGCTCAGTGCATATGCTGGACAAGCTGAGGTGGGTACCAGTGTGTCACGGCCCCAGACTGGCTGGGCTGGGCACTACATGTAGTGCAGGTCCTGGACCAGACAGAGTGAGCACTGCATGCAGCATGGGACCCGGACTGGCTAGAGTGGGCGTTGCATGTGGTGCATAAAGAGGGTTTTTCCCCATAATCCCAGCCCAAACACAGCTCTTTATTCAGGACTATTTACATAGCACACAGGCCCGGGGGACAGTCAGCTGGCAAGCTAGTATATGAAATCATGCTTTGGGCCAGGCAGCACCCTGCCCAGATTTCTTTGGGATATTCCCCCTGTGGCAGGCCAGTAAGGGGTGCTCCTGCGCACAGCCACAACCTTGCTGCGCCTGACCACCTACCAAGCTCCAAGTGCCTCCCTGGGGGCACGTCACATCTGGCCGCCCCCCTTCCTGGAGCACACCCGCTAGCCTGGGGGTAACGCTGCCACCACTTGCAAGTCTCGGTCTGTCAGTGGCTCCGTGCCTTGTGAGGTACACAGCCTTTATAGACCTGAAGCGGGTACTCAACCCACGGCAAGAACTTGGGGTCCTTCCCTTAGTCTGAAGCACAAATAGTGGTCTTAGCTGAACCAAGGGGACCCTAAGGCATAATCTAGATGCTCTCCCAATAAATCTCGCATGCTAGGTACAGGGGAGGACTTCATTGATTACAAGGAGTAGGTCTGGAATAGGATACAGGGTGGAGCAATATCCAAGAATAACCTTTAGAGCAAACAGTGGCATGGTAGCCTTTGATCATGCATCTGAATTACTGCAAACTATATATCTAGTTAGATGTCAAGTAGCTTACTCAGAAGTATCATCCAGAGGCAGATGGAGATTCCCTGTGGAGCCAAGCAGTTCATTGCTTAGAACAAAAGGGAGCTTAAGCCTCCTCCCAGGTGTGTGATGCCAGTCATGTAGGCAGAGGGAGCAGGTTCCCCCGCAGGAATGTCTCCAGCTCAGGCTACAACTCAGGGTTACCTGAAGCAGATGGGGGCAGGGGTGCCTGCCCTCTGCATGGACTATGGTAACCAAATTGTTAGATAGGTAATAAGCCTAATAGCAGAGTTTGGGGAGAGACTGAGATGGCACTCTGCCACACCCCCCATGGTGGAGACATGCAGCTTGGGGTGACCTGAAAACAATTTCACCATAATCCTAGGCAAACTCAGGTCCTTATTCAGTGCTATGTACAAAGCACAGAGGCCAGAGGCTGACAGCTGCTATTCATAAAATGATCTTTGGATCAGGCAGCAGCCTGCCCAAACTTCTTCTGGAGAGTCTCATAATGACAGGGACTTGAGTTTTGGGGTGACCAGAGGCTGATTTTGCTTTGTAATCCCCACTGAACCTCAGATCCTTATTCAGGGCGATGTACATAGCACACAGGCCTTGGGGGCTGTGAGTAGGCACGCTAGCATGCAAAAAACACACTTCTAGTCAGAGACAGGACTGCCCAGGCTTCTTCTGGGGAGCCCCCCAGTGATGGTGAGGTGTGGTTTGGGATGACCTGAAAAGGATTTTGCCCCATAATCTCAGCCCAAACTCCACTCATTTGGGGCAATGCCCAAGCCCCTCTGCTCCCCCTGCATTTAGAGCTGGCTTTGCCAAAAATGTGGGGTCTTCTGAGCACAGCACCCCAGCACAGGGATCAGCGGGGGGACACAGGAAGCCAGGCCAGTCTAAACAGGGGAAGGGAAGCCAAAAACAGGCTGAAAAACTGCAGAGAATCGAAAGTGAAACCCTGGTGCGAGCCGTTGGTGTTCCCGCCTTGGAGGCATTCAAATGTTTTTCTCCATTTTGGGCGGCACTTCATTGGCGATTGCTGTTTCTAGTTATG